CCAGCCCTAGGCCTCACTATAAGGGACCTATTGGTACGCTTTGTGGGTTTGCTCACGTGCAAGCCACAGGTAAGAACATCACAACTGTACCTCTTCGTCCATGTGGAGGGCAGGATCCTTTGCGAAATCCAGAAACAGCCTCTCATACCCCTTCCAACTGACCGTCCCAAATACCTTGGCGGTGCAGGTAGGTGGTATGGGGGATCATTGTCATCGAAACCTTGGAGGGGTACATTTCACGGAGCTTTACCGTACGGTAGTAGGTGGAAGGGGTAATGGCTGCAAAAGAAGGAGCCCAGGCACCCGCCTTGTTGGCGCCAGCGCGCAGTCGTTTCAGTGTACGACGGCCTAAGGTTACAGGAATGTCGCATACGTTCGGCGTGTTGGGTGGCTTCAGGGGTCTGGGGTTTTGAGCCGAGCGGGCGTTTGCATGGTTTGAGCGGGGGTGAGCGGCTAAGGATGTCGTGTCAATGTCTCTAGGACGGTGCGTTGGGTCATGGTGGGGAGGGCTTTCGAGGAGGGCACGCTGACAATCAGGGGTGCAAGACAGCCGCCACTGCCGCTGCCGCCTCCGCTGACACCCAGCGGAGTAAAGGGCCACCGCTGCCACCGCCGCCGACAGGTGCAAAAGGGCCGCCACTGCCGCCTCCATCGCCGCCCGATTCTTTGACATCCCGGCGGTGCAACAGGGCCGCTGCTGCCGCCGGCGCCTCCTCCTCCGCTGACATCCGGCAGAGCAAAAGGGTCGCCGCCTCCGCTGACGCTCAGCGGGCAACAGAGCCGCCACTGTCGCTGTCGCCGCCTCCGCTGACTCCTAACGGTGAAACAGGGCCGCCTCCGCCGCTTGACACCCCGCGGAGCAAAAGGGCCGCCGCTGCCGCTGACACCCGGCGGGAGAGAAGGGCTGCCACTGCCGCTGCCGCTGTAGGCACCCGGCGGTGCAACAAGGCCGCCGCTACCACAGCCGCCTCCACCTCCGCTGGCATCCGGCAGAGCAAAAGGGCCGCCGCTGCCGCCCCCTCCCAGCGCTGGACGTCCTTCGCGGCAGTGGAGTTAACCCGTAACGTCGTTCCGCAAGACTTTCCAGCTGCTATCCCGGCTAATCCCGGAATCCCTGCCGTAGCAGTCTTGTAGGAAGCAGAGACCGGACCGGACAGGCAATCGTTGGCTGCTCGCTTAAAATCCTTGTCATTTCTTTGCCGCAACTTTGCATCGATCTCCTCCGGATTTTCATAAATCATATAACTGTCCAAAGATCGACTTGCCGATGCAGGCCTTGCCCGCCGGCTTCTCTCGTGGGGCGTGTCATAAATCATGCTTGCAGGGCACAACACCGCACTTGGCTGAAAATGTTAAAGATTGCTTTTCACATAGAAACTTTGTATACAGCAAGCGTTGCCGTAGCCCTGTTTAAGCATGAAGCATCGATGAAGTTATGAGTACCGATTACACCGGTAAGGGTGCTCGACACCGCAAATGCATTTAGTTTGAAAAGATATATAATTCTACAGCTTCTTAGTGAAGGAAACGAGCCAGCCGGACGATTTCGGGGGTCTTCCACGCCATCCGTGGATGACGAGTTCCACGCCAAGTGTGGACGAAAGTTGTACAGCTTAGCTCAGGATAGCACGAAACAAAGCGAAACCAATTGGAAACGTCGATATATGGCAAGGGGTATGAATAGTATGTGGAGAACGACGTCGGAAGGTGCGTGCCGAGCTTTGGACACGACAGCAGGGAAGCTCACGACACACAATGCAAGGCCGAGTGTAGGCAATGTGGTTTAAGGCGGCGCGGAGGAAGGGCAGTACGCCGGAAACGTGAATGGGCAGGGAAGGCTTGTTGCTGCCTGAGAAGCGGCACAGAGGAACGTGAAACACAAGAGAGCATTGTAGTATTGTACACCTGAATAGCACAAAGGTGTTATGTGACAACATTAACGGATGCGTGCTGGTGCACTCGTCATCCAAGCGCATGCTCATAACACTGACACGTTGCAAATGCTTTTTTCAATATTATGTCAACAAGAGCGGACGAGCATGAAACGAAAACGAATAGTCGCACCCTGCTTGCTGAGCTCCGGCATGGTCTACAACCCCCCCGGAGCTTGCTTGTCACTGGCGAGGCAGGCAGTGGCAAGAGCCAGTGCATCCTTGCACTTCTCTGGTTTGCTTTCCAGCACGATGCCAGCGACCTCTTTGCTGTCGTCAGCTACACTTGGCGTGCTGCCCTCCAGGTGCGCTTCCTCACTCCCTGCAAGCTCGCACTGCTTCCCCTGCCCCCCACTCCCTGTACGCTCGCTGACATTCCTTCCATCTCATCCGCGGCCTCCTACAGATCACAACTGACGCCAACGTTGGGGTCACCACTACATTCTTCGCTCTGGGGGGCAGCCGAGGCGGCTTCAGCTACGCTGCTCAAGAGCGCGTCCAAGAACACATCAGAGGCGTCCGCTTTGTCGCTAATCTCCACTTTGTCACAGCCGGCTATCCTCGTCAGCTACCAATGCCCCAGCAACCGCCCATGCACTGGGGCGCTGCTGACATCACACGCCTTCTCCAAGACGCAACAGCCCTGCAACGCATTGCTGCGACTGGCGACCCTGCAGCAGGGTTGCGCGCTCTCCAAGCTGTGATTCTCCGCAAGTGCTTGCAACCTCAGTGACCCTAACCATGCACTTCTGGTTGCTGGGCGTGCTGCGTGGCACGCCATGCAGCTCGCCTTCATCCTGCGTCACCAGCACCGACAAACAAGCGGTGCAGATGGTGACAAGCTCCGAAGATATGCGGCTCTCTTTGATGGCACCGGCGCCGTTGGCGGCGCTGCCCTCCAACAACAGCTCCTCGAAATGTGCCACGACCTCAATGCTACGGTTCCCGCACCTGACAGCCTACACCACCTCCCTGACCCACGGGTCATTGTCCTTCGGCACTCGATACAGCTCCCCCTCAACCTAAGCCGCGCCCTCATTCACGCGCAACAGCATAACCAGCCCGCTTATGTCTGGCGGAGCCAGGACGTTGCAGCTGATGGCTCCCCTTTATCTTCCACCACCCTCGGTCACCTCGAAACCACCTTCGACGCTAGCATTCCAGCCGTTGGCATCTTCCCCGGCCGTTGGCATCTTCCCCGGCATCCGCTACATTTTCTCCGACAACGCTTACAAGCACCTGTACCACGTCCACAACAACGGCTGCACCGATGTCCAGCTCATCCTGCACCCCAACGAACCCCGCCAGCAGTTTACCAACCCCGACTCCGGTATCCACATACTACACTACCCTCCACAACCTATCGTTGTCACACCTGATGGTCCCAGCGTTGGAGCAGTCTGCACCCATCCTGCTATTCCCGCAAACTGCATCCCAGTGCTCCTGAGCCACACCCGCGTCCCGTGCGCCGTTCAATCTGCCCCCCGTGCCTCCCTTATGTTATCCTAACCCGGTTCGCCAAATTCTCCCAACTCCGCTTGTTGACGCCGCTTTGGCAACCTGGCGACGAGGCAGCAAAGCAGCGTGTACTGGCCAAGCTCACTGCGCTTGCTGCTCCTGATCCCGACTTAGGCGCGGAATGGCTTCGCCTTCAAGACCTCGCACAAGACCCCCCTCATCCCCCTCGTCAGCCACTGCCGTCACCCTTCCCCTTCTACAGCCCCCTTCACGCCTTCTATTGCACCCCTTCCCTTGTCATTCCTTTAACCCCGTCTCCCTCTCCATTCCCTCCACAGGTGCACCGCCTGCGGCTCCTCCATGCCCCTGGATGCCACGCACTGCCCCACCTGCAACGCAAGCGCCGACGACCACGCGGCGGTCATCGTCCTCGGCACGCTTTTCACCACCGCCCTAAACGACGCATTCAGGAACTCTCTAGCCGGTGCACATCTGCTCTACCTTACATCCCTGCTGCCCTTGCCCTACCGCCCTGCTCTCCTCCATCCAACCTTCCTTAACGTTTCTACAACTACCAGTTTAACTTCGCATTCGTTCTGCCATAACCCGCACCCCCCCCCAGGTCATCGTCACCTCGGACGCCGCTACGCACATGTTCATGCCCGCGCATGGTTACACTGTACCCAACACCGCCGCCCCCCACGACGGCGCCTCCAACCGCACCGCCACCACCTTCGCTGAGGCTGCACGCGCTGCCGCCCACTGCGTCCTGCCCTCCATCACCGCGGTGCACGGCGAGGCTACCATCCAGGACGGCTTCGTCACCTCCTTCACGCCTTCAGCCACACCTAGACCTCCTACTCCCGCACCCGCCGCACAGCACCTTCGCGTCGGCGCTTTGTAACAGTACTAGTGGAATAAGGTTGACATACCGCACATCCTTCCTTGCGCTCTGTACTAATACTTGTGCTGCTCTCATGTGGCACAATTGTGTTAGGCGTGTGTTGGCCGCGAGTCGGAGCGGACTGTGCTTGCCCCATAAGTTGGAGTCCAGTCCGTTGGCTATGTAGTCAAACAGCTATCGAGTAGATGTGTTGTGAACGGTTCACTCGTACTGGGCGGTTGGAATTTGAGTGCGCCTGCGCCGACAGTAGCTTCCCGCTTTCATTACGCATGTTCACGCCGCCAACAAGCTTTTTTGAAACACCTTCGATTTGCATCTACGTGTTGCCTTATTTCGTTGTACTCTTCGTTCGTTCAGGGCAATGTCCCATGTCTCCAATGCTAAGGGGGTGGTTCAGTATTATCCCAGCCACCGCCCGGTGAATAAACGCTACTTGAGGACGCACTAGGGCTACCCCTCTGTAAACACCCTCGCACCACCAGCTTGGCTATCCTCCCCTACATCCGCACACCAGACACTACCTGCAATCAACAGATTTTGCCCTCTCACCCGACCAAAGGGAGGCTTGATACAGAAGTTCGCTCAAGTAGTGAATCCTGCATGCCGCGCATGGGGAGCTGCAGATTGCGCTGTAACAATGTGGAGCGCTCCGAAACCTTTCTTTGGAACTGAGTCGCCACGAGTGCTGCAGTTTCGCAAAACAAGAACTGTTTAATACATTGCTTTGTTCCCACTGTCCATAGCAATTAACCTTCGATGCTAGGGAACTTTTCACGAAATTAACTTGTGCACGATGCCTGGAGCTACGCTTGAGGAGGGCGAGGTTGAGGAAGGTGAAGTACACGAGGACAAGCCCGCCGAATTGGAGGTATGGCATTTAACAGTCAGTTTGTCAAGTTGCATGGCTTGTTGACTTTGCGCCTGCGACCTTTTCTTAGGAATCTGGCGAGGCCTCTGGTTGCGAGGGCCAAGACAACGAAAACGAACACGGCACATCGGCTTTAGATACCTACCAGCAGTCTCAGCAGCAGTCACAGATGCCGGGGCCGCCTCTTTCTTCGCTTCAAGCAGCGGCACACCCACCCGGCTTTTCTCCAGGGCCGGCTCGTAGCGGACGGACACCTGAGCCTTTGCTTGTGGCCACCGGTTCGGACGCTGGCGTTGGGCTGACCTCATCTAAGGCCCGCTCCCGCCAAGAGCTAAGCAGTGCAGGTCGCATTCGCCTGAAGACGACAGAGGGCCAGTCATCGTCTCAAGGAGGCCAGGGTTCGCAGCCGCTGTCGCCGCGGGCGCAGCAGCAGCAGCAGGTGGCAGCAAGTACGGCAAAGAGCGATCGAGAGGCAGAGGAGCTCATAGCGCAGCTGCGCGACCTAACACGCGGGAGCAGCTTCCAGGACGTCATGCGCTCACTAGGCACCGTCTGCAGGGACCTGAAGACGGCCATTAAGAAGCTTGATAAGCTATTCCGCAGGGTAAAGGTGGGTCTGTTTGCAGCGGCTGGGTTACTTAGGCGGGTAGTCGTCCAGAGGCCCCGGTCACCCTCTTTTAGCCAACTGCCGGCCCGTTTGAGCTTCCCCGCCGTTCTCTATCGTTCAGCTATGCCGCGAACAACCACTCCGTATAACACCATGCTCACTTCCGCGCTTGGCATCTCATTGCAGTCGTTCTATGCACACCATGCAACAGTGAGCCGTCTCACACCCCATCCCTCGCGCCCTCGCCCTGCCTGCTCCTTCGCTCCTTTCCCGCACAGCGGCGTAAGGGCGACTCCATAGAGGAGTACCCCGATTGCATCCAGTTCTCCAAGCGCATCGTAGAGGGCCTGCACACGGTCAACAAATTCAGCCAGACCAGCGCGTTCCAGGCAGCCCCGCCAGCCGCCACGGATGCCGCACGCGCACTCTTCACAGCTGCCATGAACTACCGCCACGACATCCTCAGCCCCTCGCTCAAAGCGGAACTGGAAGCGCTCGTGCGTAACAGCAAGGCGTTCAAATGTGTCCTGGAGAACCGCCGTACCGCTGCAGCAAATACCCCTGCTGGAGCGGCCGCCGCGGCTGGTGGTGGTGGTGGTGCGGGTCCTGCTGCTAGCACCAGTCCGCAGCAGCAGGGACAGCAACAGCAGAGTGCGGGAATGGGCGACGGCATTGCTGAGAGCGGTTCAGTTGCTGCGGAGGCTGCGGAAGCGGGATCGGGAGCGAAGGAGCCGGTGACTGCGCCCGCTCATGCAGAGGAAGCCGCGGCAGCACCAGCTGCAACTGCGGATGCCTTGCCCGGTGATGGAGAACGTCAGCACAGGGGCGGCGGTGACGATGATGAGGACCGCCAACCCTCTCCGGTGTCGCCGCTTCCGCCAAAGATGTCCGCTGAGACCGGCGTGCTTGTCTGTCCTAAGGTATGCGCAGGGGTTTAGGCTGCTGTCGAAAGGGGCTTGCTGCTGGTTCCACTTGCGGTGTGTGGCGCTACATAACCGCATTCGCTCTAGGGCCATGATATGCCTGTTGCTGCTGCAAGGTTTGCCCTGAAGGCTGTAATCAAGGTCTGCCCGAAGGGTCATGTAAATCACGATCTCCTGCAAGGCCCGTAACCGCCGTGCAACGCTCATGACAACCGCATCTCCCTTATACCGTTCGTTGACTACAGGATGAGCGAGCTCCGCCGGCTCCCCAAAGGCCCGGAAGCGTCTCTCCCGGACCCGAGCCGAAGTCGGAGCCGGCACCCGCATCCAGCGCCAGCATTCCGCCGCCCGTCTCACCGCCGCTTAGCACCGTTAGCGGTGAGGCCCAGGCTCAGGCGCCCCCCCCGCCGCAGTCATCGGCAGCAACTGGTCCCGCAGCAACTGGAACTCCAGGTGGTGTCGGCGTCAGCAGTCTTGCAGGCTCGCAGCGTCGGTCCTCAGTGCCTACTGCCGGTGGTGCTGGCGGCGCAGGCGGGGGCTACAAGATGAAGATTGTGGTTGCAAGCACAGCTGGGGATCTCCGTACAGCGGCAGCGGCGGCTGGGCCGACGGCGGCATCACCGGCGGCAGCGGCAGTCCCAATGGAAGGCGTGGAGGGCCCTGGAGGTGCCTCTGGGCAAGTGCAGGTCCGTGGCAAGTCCTCGGAGCCGGCTGCACAGGAGCGTGCGGCTGACGAGCCGCCTCCCAAGCGCAGCCGCTTCAGTGCTGAGCCGGAGGCCAGGTCATCCGGTCGTTGGGGGGCGCCGGGGCCGCTGGCGGCGGCGGCCGCCGCCGCAGCTGCTGCAGCCGCGGCCGCAGCGGTTGACAACCGACAAGTAAGCATGGGGCTGCAGCCGCAGCTACAGCCACAACTTTACCATCCACACATACCGTATCACCAGCAGCAGTACCCCTTGCCTGTGGCTCAGCCAAACTTGCAGCCCATTGTACAACAGCAGCCGCCTCAGCCGCCTCCTGGCTTGCCGCCAACTGTGTTGCGGTGGTCAGGCGAGCAGAACGGGGACCTGGCATCCGTACCTGTGCCGCCGGAGTCCCCTGTGTCGGAGGACATGGGTGAGTGGGAGCGCTCGGGTGGCCAGCAGCAGCAACAGCAGCTCCCTGCCGTGCCCTCCGTGAAGCAGGAGTCTGATGGTGGGCCGCGTTCGGCAGCGCAGGAGCACGGCGCGACCATGGCTGGCAGCAGTAGCATGGCAGCGGATTCCGGTTCCGCCGGCCAGCACTCTCAGGGGCAGCAAGCGCATGCTGTGTCTGCGCCCAGCAGCAGCGGGCAGCAGGAACGGGAGCGGGAACGTGACAAGGAGCGCGACCGGGAGCGGGACCGAGATCGGGAGCGGGACCGAGGTGGCAGGGACTCTAGGGATTCTCGGGAAAAGGACTCCTCACGCGAGAAGGAGCGTGAGAAGGACAGGGAGGTGGACAAAGATAAGGAACGGGAGCGGGAACGGCATCGTGCCAGCAAGGACAAGGATAAGGAGCGTGAGAAGGAGAAGGACCGCGACAAAGCGCGTGACAAGGATAAAGAGAAGGAACGCGATCGGGACAAGGACAAGGAACGGGACCATGGCGGCAGCTCCTCACACCGCTCCTCCCGCCACCGCAGCGACCGAGACGCCTCCACCACGCAGCACCAAACGCCGCCGCCGGCACCGCAGCTTGATTCCCACTCCCACCTGCACGTCAAACAGGAGCCTCCTGACTCCGCCGCGACGCCGTTGCCGCCCTCCGCGCCCGCCTCGGTAACTGCCGCCGCCGGCAGCCGACCCCGGCTGCCGGAGGAGGTAACCGCCTGCCTGGGCCGCCGCCGCCTCGTGCTGGTGGTAGACCTCGACCACGTCCTCGTCGACAGCGTCTGGGATGCGCATGTGGACGGCCCCACCTCCGCCACCCTCGCCCGGCGGGCCATGGTGGAAACCGCAACCCTTCCCGAGGACCGCCGTGAGCTTTTCCGCATGCAGCTGGACGGCGGCACGTTATGGATGAAGCTGCGCCCCGGTGCTCGCGGCTTCCTGGCTCGGGCCAGCGAGAGGTTCGAGCTCTGGGCGCATACACGGCAGGGTCGGCCGTACGCGGATGCCGTGGTGGAGCTCCTGGACCCCAGCCAGCAGCTGTTTGGCAGCCGCGTGGTGGCGCAGGGGGTGTTGGCCAAGCGGTTATTGGCTGCGCTGGATGCGCGCGCGCCCATTGCTGCGGTGCTGGACACGCCAGGGTCGGATTGGATGGGCGAGCAGCTGGGTGGCAATCTGGTGGCCACGCCGCCGTACTCGTTCTTTGCCTACCGGCCGTGTACGGCAGGTGTTGGCAGTACGGCGGCGGCGGGCATGGCTGGACGTTCGCTGCTTGAGGTGGACAGGTGGGTCGGGGGCTGGGAAAGGGGTCTTTTATGGGGGCTTAAGCCGAGGCGTGCCCGGGTTCGACTTGCATAAGAATATGGCCTATGGTTTGTTGGACTGCATTTGGTGGGGGCTCATCCAGCGCATCTTGGCCCCTGCTTGCCTCTTTAGTCCTTACTGCTAGCACCTTAGTAACCGACTCCTGTTCCCCCACGGCGTACGTGCTCGCCTGTAGGGACGAGTGCCCTATGCGTGGCGTGCTAGCAGCCGCCCTACACGTCCTCGATGCCCTGCACTCCCGCGTCATCCACGCCTACACCGCCGCATCCTCCTCCACCAGCTCCTCCACCGCCGCGGCACCGCTTACCTCCCCGACCTCAGCACCAGGGGCCGCCGCTGCAGGCGCCGGCTCAGGCGGCTCCTCGTCCCATCAGCAGCAGTTGCAGCAGCTGGAGGTTTGGGACGTACGGCGGGTACTGCGGGAGCTGCGGACGCGCATCTTGGCGGGTGTGCACATCACCTTCAGTCGCGTGTTTGCCACCAACGGGCCGCAGTCGGGTCCGGCGCACCCGCTGTGGCGGCTGGCAGAGACATGCGGCGCGGTGTGCAGCAGCAGCTGCTCCGACAACACAACGCATGTGGTCAGCCTCAGCGGGGCTACGGAGAAGGTGGGTGGTGTGGGAGATGGGAACGGGCGTGGGTCTGGGATAAAAAAATATACAATGAGACACTGACGAAGCAACTGGGTGTGGGTGTGGGAGGGGGCTGAGATGGGGTCGTTGGAAGGTACGATGCATGGGTAATGATAGGACGGGATTGGGTAGTCTTAAGCTAGAGTGCCATTCTTGCGCTATGTAACGCCAGGACGTCTTGTTGGTGCCGATGCCTTCGCAGGCCATCTGGGCGCAGCAGCACGGTCGCTTCGTTGTGTACCCCTCCTGGTAAGCTAAAGCCTTGTCCTGTCACCAGATGCTTGGCTAGCAGGCCCCAAAGTCAGCTGATAATCAGCTTCACTTGCTCCACATGTTAATCTGTTCCTTTGCCATTCGCATCACCCAATGATGGGAGGTTGATCCTTTTGCTATCCCCATGTCGATGCGTAGGCTGGAGTGCTCCTGTTACTTGTGGAGCAAAGCGGAGGAGGCGCTCTTCCTTGTGTAGCCATAAGCCTGGAAACATGACCTTGGACATACGCCGTGTGAAGGAATCACCGTGAAGAGACTTGTGTGTTGCGCTTTCTGGTTGTTTTGCTAGCGAATGGGTGGTTTAAGCATGACGGACATTACGCAAAAGCTGTTACTGACACTCGCGACTAAAACGAAGAAGTAGAGGCGAAGATTCTGTGCGCCAAGCCGCATTAATCTGGTGAGTCTATCCATGCCGGTATGGGCGCTGTAAAGCTGCTGTCTGGGCTATGTTGCCGTACACCTTTGCTATCCAGATCTTACACATGCCATCGACTAGGGGCCATCTTTGAGCGTCGTACGCTCGTACCAGCAATCAACGAAGCGCGATTGGGTACGCAACCACGCAACTAGCCAAACATACATACATACGACCTGCGCAAGGGCCCCCAATCACAAGGCTCCAAACCTCCACGACTCAAACGCTTGCCACGGCCGCTACCCGAGTAGAGGGAACGAATCACCCCGCAACGCAGCTTCCCAGGCGCCCTCCGTTGCAGCAGCCCCGGAAGACCAGGAGCCCCCATCCCCAGTCAGCAGCAGTTGTTGGCCTGTTGCTGCGAAGCCAGCCGGCAGCCCCAACTGAGCGCCCGCCCGCAGCAAGTGCCCGTGTCTCCCCCCTGCGCCTGCTGGCCCTCCACAGCTGGTGAGGCCGGTGAAGGTCTCGCTGCCTGTCACGATGACGGGCGCGCCCTCCCAGCGCTTCAGCGACCCAGCGGTACCTACAGCGACGGTGATAGGTAATGAAGTCGTCAGGGAACGGTTGTTGATTGCCTCTTGGAGTCTCATGGGCGGTGCCACCGATATTACAGGTGCACGATATGCAAGTGACCCTGTTGTTTACATGGCGATGCGCAGCGGGGTTGAAAAGTGACCTCTTAAGAGCCGTGCATGCGTTGCATCTGATGCGCCCAGCTGCCAGGGCTAAGCCAAACAGTCTGCACAGGTGCCTATCCCTAAAGTCATGCTCCATGCGACGCCGCCAAGTAGCGAACAACCCAGCGCACGCACCGGCGAACTTAGACAGCGGTGCGAGGGGCTGCAGTCGCTGGGGTCCCGCCTTGCCGCCACCGCTGCTGCTGCTGGTCGACGGCCCAGCGGCCGCCTCAGACGCTGTCCCCGTCAAACTCCGACTGCCGGTTTGTAGCGTTTGCCAGGGATATGGAACCACCAGGATGCTGCTGACGGCCGCTTTCCCAGGAGCGGAAATGATCTGCGGATACATCACCATCAGCGTTAGCATTGCCGTGCGAAGCACTGTTTTAACCATTACGGCCCACGCCCACACTATCGCAACTTGTGGCAACCTGCACAGAGACAAGCCCGCCCGAAGAGAGCCAGCACGCACCTGAATCGGCTGCCGGCTGCCCAGATCCCACACCCGAACACTGCCGTCCTGCGAACCGGACACAAGCACGTCCGAGGTGTAGCCACGTGGGCCTCCCGCGCCGCCCCCACCGCCGCTGCTACTGCTGGGACCTAACGACGCCAGCGCCAGGCTGGTTACGGGCCGGGTATGCCCCAGCAATGTCCGGTAGGCGCCGCCGTCGGCTCCGTTGCCTTGAGCCGCCGCTGCCGTGCCGTTGGTGGCGCCGTTGCTAGCGCTGCCGCTGGTACTCACCGCCGGATCGCCCAGCAAGGGAACTTCGTAGACGGCGCCATCGTTGCCGGCTGCGTAGAGGTACCGCTCACCTGCAGCGAGCGCAACAACGGCAGCGACAGCACGTTTCGCGCCATGACACAGTAGCCTACGTAGGCAGTGGCCCCAGACAGACACAACGCACTCGTCACGTTCGCCCATACCCCTATCCCAAGAGTGTTGTCTTCCTACTTGCGCACCCCCATTAGCCAGGTACTATTGTATCGTCAACTCTGGCCTGTGTCACCAGCTATACGGTACGCCGCTTTGCTGACATCGCCCATTCCCACCGCCCAACCCACACCCACCTGCGTCCAGAGCCAGCGCATGTACGGCAGCCGGCAGGGCCACACTCCTCAACAGCATCCCATCCGCCATGCGCCTGAGCTTCACGGTCCGGTCCAGCGAGGCGCTCGCCACCACTGCCGCCGCTTCTCCCGCGCCCGCCGCTAGCGCCGTGACTGGAAGCGTGTGATCAAACCAGGCGTGCAGGGGCGCGGGCCGGGCGAAGGCAGGCGAGGCAGGGTCCAGGGAGGGGTCCAGCAGGTCTGGTAGCAGCCAGGTGAACACCGAGGTGTCCTCGCCGCCGCTGAGGAGCAGGGAGGCACCGCCCACGAAGAGAAGCGCTGTGGCGGCCTGTTTGGGTTATGGAGTGAGGTGGGGTGGAGCGTGGTGGTTGGGTTACGTGAATGACTGCGGAACCGGAGAGCCGGAGGGCGTCATACGAGGTCCGAGCACAGCAGTTCATGGGGGAGGACGGATATCTCATCGTGGCATGTTCCCACGTTGTTACTTTGGCTGTGGTTGCCTACCTTGTAATGGGCTGCCCATGTGCGCAGCAACCGCCCCGAGGCCACCTCCCAGAGGTACAGGGTCCCACTGCTGGACCCCCCGGCAAGGTACTTGCCGTCGGGGGATGCTGTGAGAGCCAAGATTGCCTCCGAGACGTAGGACCGCTGTAAGATTTGTTCCTACATTGCAATGTTCAAGGATGGTTAAGCAAGTTGGCAGTCAAGAGGAGACGGCCGGTAGGTTAACCACAGCGAATCAAATCTTTGTGCGCACCCGGTTCCACGTCCAGAAGTTCAGGGCGTGTTTGCTGGTCTGCGCCGCCGCGATGTAGTCATGCCCAAGCGTACATAGCCCGTTCTGTGGCGACCCATTACCCTTGAACGACTTGAGTGCAGCCCCCGTTTTTAGGTCACTGCGCACAAGGGAAGAAGGAGCGCTCGGTGTCTCGAATGGCTGCAGACCCGAGACATGCTTGACGAAGTCCACATACCAGGCCACTATGCTCCCCTCCGCCACGCTAGTCGCAATAATAAGAACCGGATTTTGCATTGCGTGGGGCTATACTTTACAAGTAACTACACTATGTATGCTTTGACAATAAACGCGTTCAGCCCTAACCGGCGTAAGCAGGTGCCCGTAACAGTTGCTCAGAGTTCGCCGTTGAAATAGGTCATTTACAAAGTGATGAATAGACAATGACAGGAAGGAAAGGCCGGCGGCTTGCTTTGCTACAATTCAAGGATCAGTTGCTTAGCAAGGTTTCTCTTGTTCTTCCTATCCAGCGTAAACGGTCCAGGATGCAGGTGGAATGCGCTGCCTCTTCCGTGCGTACGGAACGGTGGTTGGCCAAGGCAAGTAGGCAACCAACTAAACATTCGCTTCTCTAAACGCTACCTGGCTGGGACGCAATACCGAATGCTCGGAGGAAATTCTTGCTGCGATTCTTTAGCATCTTTTCGGGGTCACAAAAGCTCCGGAACCAGATTTATGGAAACGCGCGCGGTCCTGAACTCCTGAAGCGAACTGCCTAGTGTCTTCACAACGTGTTGAGAACGTCTGATACACTCGGCCAGGTCATGCGCGACAGTTGGGCTAGCGCTCACAGGCGCCTCTCGGCAGGGCGATGCCTCGTGTTCACAATGACCAAGACCGCCCGATCGTGCTTTTACGCCTTTATGACGATATAAGAACACTTCGTGACTACATCTTATACTTGGCGGGCGCAGCACACCCTCAACTGCAAAACTTACTCCTGCAGCCGAACGATGGAGACCCGTATCGCCAGCTGCTGCTTGGCAGCTATGTCTGCTTCTGCCAAGGCGCCGTGCCACAGCCTATGCCTCGGACGCAGGCGCCCCAACCACTTGTTAACAGCTGTAGCCAGGAGGAGGTACTGCCGGGTTGTTCAATGACGCGCTAGAACTCAAGCGGAAACGCAGGGCATAGCCTTTGCAGCATTCACGCCTTTAAAAAGCGGACGCCGACGGGTGGAGAGAAAGCGTTATGCGGCTGTAAACAGCATACTCACCGGCGTTAGTTCCCGCGTCCCTTGACGCCATGCAGGTGTTGTACCGCGCAATCGACATGCTGGTGCGCGACAACTCGGACAGCGTGTTGCGAAGCGGCTATCGGAAGGTACGGCAGCTCAACAGAGGAGCATCAAAGCTACTTATCGATAGAATGACGCCTTATTCCGCTTTGGTGACACCTTCAGCTGGCGCATGCGTTTGAAACAAACATAACCCGTAGGTTTGTCCCCCTTCCGTTGACGTCATGGGTACCGGTATGCAACCCTGACTGGTTTCTCACCTTTGCCCTGTTCGACCCAACCCAACTCTATGCCTAAACTACCGCATTCTGTCGCACGCAGCGGCGTCCCAACAGCCGTGCGGCTTACCAGCGCGGCATGTACCACTCGGAGCCCTGGAGCCCCAACACCGCCAAGGATGCGCTGCTGGGCCCTCCCTGGCGTCAGCTGCTGGGGCGGCTGGGGGACGACCTCATGCTGCAGCTGCTGACCCGTGGGTCACTCTTCCTGGGACTGGGCGCAGGGAACTTCCTGCAGGTCTCTGGGCGGGCCATAACCGAGGTACGCGGAAGGGGTGCGGTGAGCGTATGTGCGGAAGTGAGGAGGGTTGTCGGGGTGGGGAGAAAGCAGTTAAGAGATACAGCAGACAGACAAGTAGGAAAGCCTGGGCATCACGTGGTCGTTCCTCTCCACGTGTATTCCCTCCCTGCCGCTCTTCGCCCACCCGGCTGACCCGCGCAGTTAGCAAGGGAACGCTACCAAATGTACAGCAAGACGGGCGCTCCGCCGCCCTCCGTACCGCCCCCGCCCCCGCATCCGCACCCCCAGCAGCAACCGCAGCCCGGGTCCGCAGCCCCAGCCCTACCAGCCCCTTCGTTACCGCCCAGCCATCAGCCGCTAATGCTGCCACCGCCGCCGCAGCTACAGCAACAGGGGCAGCGCCACCAGCAACAACGGCCCGATAACCAGCAGCCAGAGGGGATTGCTCAGGGCAAGCAGCAACCCCGGCTGCAGCCGCAGGCCCATAATCCCGGGCTGCGACACTCTTGGTTCGCAGCATCGCTGCATGAGGCCTGTGAGCGGTTGCGGGCCATGCAAGAAGCAGCAGACGCCAAGAAACAGCAACGCAAGCAACAGCAGCAGCAGCGGCATCAGCGCCAAGAGCACTGCCCGCAAGTGCGACCCGCGGCCCCCGCAGGCAACTCAGACGCCGGGCCTGTTGCTGCTGCTGCTGCTGCCCCCGCTCCCTCAACCGCAGCCAAACGTCCCAGGGCCTGGCAGCGGCGGAAGGCAGCGAAGCAAAAGGCCCAAGCAGAGGCAGCGGCGGCCGAGGCGGCGGCGAGGGAGGCAGAAACAGCAGCAGCAGTAGCAGTTGGAGCGACACCAAAGCAGCCGGAGTGGGATCTCTTGTCGTACGACAGCGTGGACGCCCCTGGGACGCAGGTGCTGTGCGAAAGTCCCTGGCCCTTGTGGGAGTTTGGTGACTCGCCGTCCGCTAGGCCGTGGGCAGGTGAGGAGTTGTACGGCACACGGTTACTAGGGTTGCACGATAGTCAATGCAACCAGGGAGCAGACGCGGTTGAGGAAATGGATATGGCGGAAAGCGCACCCGCAAGGGAAGGTGAAGAGGCAAGGAATGCGGAGGTCGTCATGACAGATGTTATGGAAGGAGGTGGTAGTGGCGAGGAAGGAGGTGACGGTCATGGCGGAAGCGATGGATGCCAAGATCATGGCGGTGGTGGCGGTGCTGGTCGCTGTACGGCAGGTAGGAAGCGTGGAGGGCGGCGCAGTAAGGCGCAGGCAGCGCGACGGCGAGCTGCCGTGACGTCAGCAGCTGCCGTACCTGATGCGGAGGCCATGGCTACTGCTGCGGCCGGGGACGCCGCCGCCGCCGGCGTCACCCATGCCATTGCAGCGGAGCCGGCCGGGATTGGGGCAGCGGCGACGGCGGCGGCGACGGCGGCCATGGCAGGGGAGGGTGCTGTCGACGCCGCCGCTGCTGCGGCTGCCGCCGCCACTGCCGCCACTGGACGGCGCCGCTACAGCCAGCCTCCTGCCGGCTGGGCCCCTCCATCGCAGCAGCTGATTCCTCGCTCGCACATCTTCTACTGTGCTACCTTTGGGCCCAGACCTGGGCTCCCGGCGAAACGTAAGCCCGGGGAGGGTTCTTGGGGCAGAGAGAGCGGGGCATAGCGGGTGGGGCATGTGCGCATGGTCCCAATGGCATGTTACGTGGGACGTCTTGCCTGCATATGGCCCTCCAGCCCGCTGTTAAGACGTCAACAGGTTCTTTTCGGTACTACACAGTTGCTACCTTCCGTTTCTTTCCAATTGGCGCCCCGTTTGTATGCTTCCAGACATGTTGCGCAAGCTGCAAACCGTCAGCGGAGCCCACAACCGCCTTTTCGCCCACATCTTTCTTGCCGACACAAAGCCCCAACAACAACAACAGCAGCCGCAGCAGCAGTCGGCACCACAGCCGCCGGGTGGGGCCGTAGGTGCCGCTGCGGCTGGTGCTACAGCTGTAGCTGGTGCTGCTGCTCCTCATGCTGCCACGGGTGTTCCGCAAGCCCCGGTTGCTGCCGTACGGGCAGCCGCAGCGGCCAGCTCCGCTGCTGGCGGCGCCGTTCCCGCTCAGCTGCTGCAGCTGCAGGCGCCTCCGCAGATACAAGGGACGCTACAGCTGACAGCGGCGGCGCCGCCGCCGCAGCTGGGAGCTGCTCCTGCCCCTGGTGTCGCTGCCGTCGTTGGCAGCATGCTATTGACGGCGGCCGGACCTGGGCCTCTACGGCAACTATCCAGCAGCTCTTTCTTGGGTGCTGCCGGCGCCACTGGCGGCGCTGACGGCGGCGGTGGCGCAGGCGGAGGGTTGCTAGGAGCTGGTGCTGCTGCTGCTGGTGCTGGTGCTGCTGCCGCTGGGGGCGCTGCAGCACCAGCGGCTGCTGCTGCAACGGCGGCGGCGGCGCCAGCAGCACCCGTGGCGGCGCCGCCGGGTCAGCTGCGTACGGATGTGCCTCGGCTGCGGCGTCGTGATGTGCGGCGCTACCGCCCCCTGCTGCAGCTCATGCGGCAACTGCTACGTAAGTGACTGGGGGTTGTGCACGCATGCGGCACCTGCTTAGGCATCTTGTAGTCTATTCTGCTGCTTTAATGGATCCTGCCGAATCCGTTGTATGGTTGCTTTACCCTCTCAGTTGCACTACAATGCACCTCCCATTCACAACACGACCCCGACAGGTCGTGCCCGGCGCTGCCCCTTCGCTCTGTTGCTCGAAAAGCACTGCCCCCTGCCACCCGCCATGATCCGCCGACGTAACGCTCGCCGCCAAGCCCAACAGCAGCGGCAGCGGCAACACCAACCGCAGCAGCAGGGCCAACATCATCGGGGCCAGGGACAACACCAGGAAGACCAAGGGGCAGGTCCTGGACCTGACCACGACCCGGACCTCCAAGCAGCTCGTCCCGACCAGGCAGCTATCGACGCCGCACCGGCTGCACTAGCAGCGCCCATGGCCGAAGCTGGCGCTACTGCCGCTGTCGCTGTCGCCGCCGCCGTTCCGGGCCTCTCACAAGACTTGCCGCTGCCAACAGCAGCCGTCGGCCATGCATCCACACGTGATGACCAGGGTGGAGACGCAGTCCAGGCTTCCGCTGCCGTACCTCTCATGGCGTCCCTCCCGTCGTTCCCCACGGACCTGCCGTACACTCAGCTGCTCCCACTGAGCCCGGCGGCGAGGACTGGAGGGCTGATCACGGCGCTTCCACCGCCGCCAGCGCTTCTACTACCGCCACCGTCACCGCCGCCGCAACTAGTGCCGCTGACCGAGGTAGTAGCGTTGCCGCTGGCGCTACCGTTGCAAGAGCAGCAACGACAACAGCAGTTGTCCACCTCACAGCAGTCACCCGTTGGTCACGTAGCACTGCTGCGAGACTCTGCGGACGTGCTGTACGGCAAGGAGAATCACGCTGCCAATCGCGGTGGCATTGCTGGCGGTGGCGGCGGTGACGGTTCCGGCGGCGGTGATGCTGAGGGCGTCGACAGGGCAAAGAGGCGGCGACTAGCAGGCCCGACGTTGTTGAGACTGGCATGTGAAGACGGTGGCGGAGGTACCGGCGGTGACGTCAACGGCGCCGCGGCCGCAGGTGGCACCCAAACCAGTAGACCATTAACGGTTCAATGTGCTGCTGCCGAGAGGAATGCGTATGCGCTACAAGGCCGGGGACACTCGCAGAGGGCGTCACAATTGCACGGTACGGCGTCACCTCGGCCGTCAGCTCTAGACCGTACGATCGCTGAACTTACCGGCAGCCCCCCTGACAGCGGCGACGGCGCCGCCACCGCCGCTATACCCGATAGTGCTCGTGCTGACGGCGGCGGCGGCGGCGAGGGCGCCACATCCCAGGCCCCGTCTTCCACGGCGCCAGGCAACGCTGGCGGCGGCGGCGGCGCTGCCGGCGGAGGCGACGGCAGCGGCGAGGGCGACGGCTCGTTGCTGCCATGTTGCATGCCGCCAGCGCGTGTGGCGGCCTTCCTGTGGTCTGTCGTACGGCACGTGGTGCCGCCGGCGCTGCTGGGCGATGGTCACAACCGCCAGTGCGTGGGTACTCGCGGGGTTGCATGCGGCGTGCCTCGCTTCTACCGTGCCTCTCTCGTGACTGTTTATCTGCGCGTTTGACCGCCTTCTGTTGACCCTATGTCTTGTCCGTATGCTCTTTTTCGCTAGTACAGCGACCTTACTTGCCTCGTCACGTCACCCCAATGCCTTCGCATCGCCTCCGTGGCACCGCATTAACCCCCTAGACTCTTTCGCACGTCCCCCGTACCTCTCCAACCCCTGCCTCAACCGCTGCCAACGTCTGTGGTATCTCCCATGCAGGGCGCTGCGCCGCGTGCTGACGCTGTTTGTGTCGCTGCGGCGTCACGAGCACCTCACGGTGCACATGGCGGTGCAGGGGATTCGAACCCGCACGCTCAGTTGGCTACCTGGCAGGGAACCGCAGCAGCAGGCGGCGAGCCGAGGGAAGCAGCAGCAGGAGAGGGGACAGCAGGAGCAGGGACAACGGGAAAGCGGGCGGCAGGACCGGGATCGGCGTCGTCAGCAGGAGCATGGAGGCGGGACCCAGACCCGGGGTGGGTTTGTTGGCTGGGCTGGGTTGAGTTTGCTGGGGCCCGGCTGGAGGGCTGGGGCACCGCCCTCCTACCTCCACATCTCCCGTTTTGCTTCACAGCGACTTGGCCTCTTCGTTGCTCGCTCATGCCTCGCTATACCAAATTAACTCTTCCCGTGTTTCTCCCAATCCCCTCACACGCTCCCAACCGCGCTTGATGAATCCCTCTCCAGCCATACTTCCTCATACACACAACCGCTCAGCACGCCACCCACCCTGCCCTCGCCAGGCACGCCCGCCTCCCTGCACTCCCTGCACCAGCGGCTGCTGTGCTGCTGGCTGCGGTGGCTGCTGCGGGACCTGGTGGTGCCGCTGCTGAGGGCCAACTTCTACGTCACGGAGTCGGAGCCGTACAAGCAGCAGGTGGGGACAGGGGGGCCGGCGGGGAAGGGGCTGGGGAGGTAACGGGATGCACATGTGTTTGTGCGTGCCATGAGCGGGTTAAGCATCACATCTACCTGTGTTTGCCACGTCCTGCCGTGCTCCTCCTTTAGTTTGCACAGTGCGCCTGACTATCTTATACTATAAGGCCTACTTTGTAGAAGGGTAAACTTGCTGCCCGTGACCCACGGGTCACCTTGCCTACAGGTATTCTACTACC